TCTTTTTCCAAGGAAAAAGTACGCTAGGAAGGTTGTGGGTGCGAAAACCTACATTGGCCAGCGGTTGTGCAACTGCTGCAGCAGTAGAGGAGTATGATCCGACGAGAAACACATGGCGCATGAAAAATATGTTCTATGTGCATCTGTCATGGGGTGAAATTGGTGTGAAAACTTCATTTGTATCTGTTAATGGCGTTAACAAGAATCAGCCATGGGTTTTACTAGTGGGTTTGTAGATTTAGAAAGGTTGTCGTATTTTGGGTTTTGCTTCTTGGGAATTGAAGGTGGATAGAAGAGGAGATGAAAAAGTTGTTGAAGAGAGACTGAAAGTTACAGTAATATTTTCCCCTTGGATTCTTGCATTGAAGGACTCTAACTTTAAGTATTTTCTTGAGTTATGACATGTGTCATGGCAACAATTGGTGCTTGACATACACTTGTGGGGGGAAATATGATCAAACACTGAAGAGGTGTGTAAAAGCTATGGTTGGGAAAAGGATTGGTGCGTAAAGCTTTTCCCGGTGTGTGTCAAAGGGATTTTGTACAAACGCGAGTGGGGGGTGGGGGATATGTATTTAAACAAATGAAGAATATTATGATTCGCGTTTCGGCATCCATTAGTGATTTCCAAGGGAGTAACCTGATTGCTACATATTCACTCAATTCTTTTATGAATATCAGCTTGTGTATATCCTTATTCCTGAAAAATGCAGATGTCATGTGTTCCATAACTTTTGGCCCATCTCTAAGCTGTTAGTCAAGAATCACTAGAGAAAATATCCTAAAGTTTCTGTCTTTATAAGTAACTCATACATTGTTCGTCTGCTTTGTGGTCTTGAATCATTTAGATGTTTCCAAGTAAGCACATTTGTTTTTCATTTCTTGGTCCTTTTGTTGCTAACATGTGTAGTGGTATATGTATCAGCATGAAAACATCCTTTACCGGTGGCATACTGTTTTTAGATTCTCCTTGCTTAATTCTAGTGCATAAATCTTTGTTCTAAAATCATGTTTTCCATTTTCATCAGTAAAATAATTATTTGACGGACAATGCAATATGCGCCAAGGTGAGTCATAGAAGTACATGGGCAGCAAGTATTACAATAAAAGGAACAAAACTAGAGAGATGAACTAAACAGTAAAATGAATAAAGAACAAAATTCACGTGAGTCGAAGGACATTAGGAACTCTGATAATGTACTTAATGAGGAAAGAAAAATAAAGTAGGATGTGATAGGCTGATAGCTACTTACATCGGTTGATATGTGCACATTTAGTTGAATATGTGTTTCCTGATCTATGCAATCACATGTTTTGTCTGTTTCATGACTGTTTGATAGTGATTTGACTAGACTAAAGAATACTATATATTAGTTAATGTTTTCTTATCCCCAATTGATATGCATTTCATTGTTACAGGCTACAAGCTTAACATTCAGTGATAAATCATGCATCTCTATGCCATCTATCGATCTAAAAGCGACTCGATCCAGAAGCCAATACGTTGTTTGCATGTCAGTGCAACATGCTAGCAAAGCCAAGGTTTCAGTTTCACCTTTATCACTTGAAGATGCAAAAGAACCACCCTTGAATATCTACAAGCCCAAGGAACCATACACAGCGACAATTGTCTCAGTTGAAAGAATTGTAGGCCCAAAAGCTCCCGGGGAGACTTGTCATATTGTCATTGATCATGATGGCAACCTTCCTTACTGGGAAGGACAAAGTTATGGTGTCGTTCCTCCTGTAAGTTCTGGCTCCATTTTCCCTATTATTTTTATTGCATTGAAAAGCTTTCTTGTTTTTGCCTGAATATATAGGACCAGTTATATAACATTTTGAATTAAATCTGTGTCCTATTTGCTTTAAACACATCTCCATTTGGTGTACTCAGTTTGAAGGACAACCATGTTCATTGCTGTTACTAATAGGACATTTACCATGAATATTCACTTGTTACTTTTACTACTTTGCACTTTTGACATCACAATAGACGGAAGGGCCCCCAAAAATGTACATCCAATCTTTGCCCTGGCATGCTTGTATGTTAGATTCTGTGTTTCAGATGTTTTGGTCATTGATACTATTGGTGTCCAACTATATTTGACCTGAACCTTTTGTAGTTTGCCCCCCCCCCTTTTGCGATGCAAAAGTTATAAAAAAGTGATATCATGATGCTTTTATCCTTCTTTTTTATACCAAGCCTCAGTATGAGCTTCGTATAATTTTAACACCCACCATTCTTTCAGAGTCTCACTTTTAACTTCTTTCAGGGTGAAAACCCTAAGAAACCAGGGAGTCCCCACAATGTTCGTCTATATTCAATTGCATCCACCAGATATGGGGACTCTTTGATGGGAAAACGGCCAGCTTGTGTGTCAGACGAGCTGTCTACTATGATCCTGAGACAGGAAAGGAAGACCCATCCAAAAATGGTGTTTGCAGTAACTTCCTATGCAATGCGAAGCCTGGTGACAAAGTGAAGATCACAGGTGAAATCCAAATAGTCCTTTTACAGATGTTATTCAAAGAAGACTTTGCATGCCAACACTACTCGTCTTCCATACATTGCATTCTCAATTTGTCATCTCTGATCACATCATTTGCATTTTGGCTTAATGAGTAGGTTTTTCCAACATTTCAATAGAGGGACAAAGAAATGATCTTTGAGGCAGCATACTGTTAAAAGTGGTCTTGTCAGCAGGAAATTATATTGTCCAGTTGACCATATAGGCTGTACAGCATAACAGATTGAAGATATTTGCCTTTTCCTTGTGTGCTTCAAATTGCCGGCTGATATGCATACTTTTTCTCCTGAGAGTGCATCAGTGCTTTGTCTGTCACTATCTCTAGAATCTTTTACCTTGACTATCTGATCATATGATGAATCGTTAAATGCCTATTTTGTACAACTAATTAATGATTTCCTTAATATTAGCCTTCCGTTAGTCTGTTGTATGCCCCTTCTAGATTTGGATTTGGCGTTACTAACCCCCCTTTTAGTTACAAACTTCCCAGTAAAGAACTTCTATACTCCATGGTCTTCCGTCTTCCTACACTGTCACCTTTTTCCGCTAAATTCCAACTACGCGTTTCTAATTTCTAAATAAGATACCCTGCTGAGCATTAAGTGTGGTGATGCTTTGCAATTAAACAGGATATTTCATGTGGCTCTTAGATTCTTATAATTTGTTGGTGGGTTGCATATTTATTGGTGAAACACTCCGAGATTCAATTTTTCTTCATTGATCGCCCTTTGGATGTTTTCACAGGTCCTTCTGGTAAGATAATGCTTCTACCTGAAAATAATCCTAATGCCACACACATCATGATTGGAACTGGAACTGGTGTGGCTCCCTTCAGAGGCTACCTTCGTCGTATGTTCATGGAGTCAGTTCCAATGAAGTTTAATGGCCTTGCTTGGCTTTTCCTTGGGGTTGCAAACACTGACAGCCTTCTATACGACGATGAGTTCACCAAGTATCTCAATGACTACCCAGGCAATTTCAGATATGACCGTGCTCTTAGCCGAGAACAAAAGAACAATAAAGGGGGAAGATGTATGTTCAGGATAAAATTGAGGAATACAGCGATGAGATCTTCAAACTTCTGGATGAAGGGGCCCACATCTATTTCTGCGGGTTGAAGGGTATGATGCCTGGCATCCAGGATACCCTGAAGAGAGTTGCTGAAGAGAGAGGTGAGAGCTGGGAGCAGAAGCTTTCACAACTCAAAAAGAACAAGCAATGGCATGTTGAAGTCTACTAAATAGGAAATGTTAATTGTTGCATTTGTTTGTGATTGTTGATTGTTGTCAACTGAACTTAGCAAGCAGTTTAGATGACACATTGTATTGCTAGTTGACATACAAATTGTTCATGTTGCATGGGAAATGAAATAATAACTGTTGCTGCTTGAGGCAGTTTACCTTGCATCGTCTGTATTGGGTTTTGATGGCGTTTTCGTCGGGAGAGCTGCTCTATTGCACTTTGAAATTGGTATGAGTTGCATGTTTTCTTCCAATGTGGTGTTGATAGTTGAAATGTTACTGGCTTATGTTATCCTCAGAAATGTGGATATGCATTTGGAAAAAGTTGAAATGTGAAGTTTTGAGGTACCCGATTCTAGTTAACTTCGGACATATTAGGGGTGTGTTTGGTATGAAGGAAAATATTTTCCTGGAAAACAAGTTGATTTTTGACTTATTTTCTCATGTTTGGTTGGTGAGTAGAAAATATTTTCCGGAAAAGATTTTTAGTGTTTGATTTATGAATGAAAAATATTTTTGAGAAATATTTTTTATTTTTACTAGAGTAGAAAATAATTTTTGAAATTGAAAATAGTTTTTAAAAACAAACTTGAATTTTTTTTTGGGGGTGGGGGGTGGGGGATGGTAGGGGGTGGTGAAGGGGGGCGGGGGTCGAGGGTAGGGGTAAAAATTTGAAATTTTGAAGTTGAAATTATTTTTTAAAAACAAACTTAAATTTTTTTTGGGGGGTGGGGGATGGTAGGGGTGGTGAAGGGGGCGGGGTCGAGGGTAGGGGTGAAAAATTGAAATTTTGAAGTTGAAATTATTTTTTAAAAACAAACTTAAATTTTTTTTGGGGGGTGGGGGTGGGGGATGGGTGCTGGTAGGGGGGTGGGTGGGGGTCGAGGGTTGGGGTGAAAAAATAAAAATTTTGAAGTTGAAAATATATTTTAAAAACAAAATTAAAATTTTTTTTGGGCGTAGGGGGGAGGGGGAGGGTTGCTGGTAGGGGTTGGGTGGGGTGCGGGGGACTGGGTAGGGGTGAAAAAAATGAAATTTTGAAATTGAAAATATTTTTGAAAAACAAACTTAAAATTTTTGTGGGGAGGGGGGGCTGGTGGGGGTGGGTGGGGGGCTGGGTAGGAGGTGGGTGGGGGGGTCAAGGGTAGGATGAAAAAATGAAATCTTGAAGTTGAGAATATTTTTTAAAAACAAACTTAAATTTTTTTTTGGGGGGGGGGGGTAGGGGTGGATGGGTGGGGCTGGGTAGGAGGTGGGTGGGGGGTCGAGGGTAGGGTGAAAAAAATGAAATTTTGAATTTGTAAATATATTTTAAAAACAAACTCAATTTTTTTTTGGAGGGGGGTGACCGGAGAGGGTAGTGGGTAGGGGGTAAAAAAATAAAAAATTGAAATTAGAAATATCTTTTAAAAATAATTTTTTTATTTTTGGGAGGGGGTGGGGGTCAAAAAATTGAATTTAAAAACAAGCTTTAAAATTTTATTTTATTTTTTTTGGGGGGGGGGGGAGGGGGGTGGTTTGAGGGTAGGAACAAAATAAATTGATTTTTTCAACAAAAAAATAATTGTAATTTGAAGTTCGAAGAGAATTTTGGAAAATGTTTTCCTTAAGTTTAGAAGGGAAGTCATTTTCCTTAAATTTGAGGAAAATGAGTTGATTTGGAAAACATTTTCCAAAACATTTAGTCCAACCAAACATGAGAAAATTAAAAAACATTTTCTGGAAAATGTTTTCCTTCAAACCAAACACACCCTAGATCAATACTTCACTCTTTAGAGCTTGTTTGGCCAAGACTAGGGTGTGTTCACGGTTTGGATAAAAATTGATCCAAACTGAAAAATCAAAATCAAATTGATTTTATTTGGATTTGATTTTAAATTTTTAAAAATCGATAGTATTTGGTTTGGTTATGATTTTGTTTGAAAAAATGGAAGAAATAACCAAATCGAATTGATAAATTATATCCATATATTTTATTATTATACATACATAATATATTATTTTTATAAACAATTTTAAAGATCTTATAGATGTTTTCATCAAAATTTATTTATAATTTACTTATGAAAACAAAAGTGTCTAAGGTGAGAACATTTATTTTACAGGTTTCATGTATATGAGTATCTCAATTCTCTGTGTGATTGATTGTCTCTTCCTGCTAGACCAAAATAGTGAATTTTGAAGCTTTATTCATTGTAATTCAAAGTTCTGTAAAGTCAGTCATTCTAACTATTTTTCGTTTTGAATTAATTATTTTTTTTATTTTTGTGTATGGTTAATAACCGAATAACCAAACTGAAACTGATAACAACCAAATTGGTAAATGTGATTATATTTGATTTGGTTTGATTTTGATAATTCTAAAATCGATTAAGTTGGTTTGATTTTGAATTTGATCAATAACCGACCCGTGAACACCCCTAGGCTATTTTATCGAGAAGTCTAAATATTAATTAAAGAGTGGAACTCTTATAGTTAAGATTGAGTGTTTAAATTCTTAAAGCTATTTAACTAAGTTATTCTATAAAAAAATTTCGATCAATTGAATTTTATTTTACTTTATTAAAAATTGTTTACTAAAAAAAAAATATACTCCACTATTTAATTTTATAAGACAAAATAATTTTAGAGCAACTTATAAAAATGACTATTTATAGGGATATTGAGGTTTAGTAGCTATAAATATGTTATTTACTAAAAATGACTACACTTTATGACAACTTCTCGCTATATGTTTGTATAATTTTTTTTATTTTTTTATTTTATTATTATTATTAGATACCAAAACGAAAACGGATCGCACAGATAGACTATTAGGAACCTTTATAGTCATAGCTAGTCCTGGCAACAGTATATGAAAATCCCTACTATCCGGGTCCGCCCTTCCTCATGGGTAATCCAACGGATTCCTTCGGCTATCTTTCATATACTGGCCTGGATTATCTATGTCTGACCTTAATCTATTTTGTTCAATCTGTCAACATAATAGACACAACGCCACCTTATAATAACTTAGTATGCTATAGCTCAACACAAACAGTTTAGCCCATCATTGGGCTGATGAACATAAAGAAGTATATTAAATAAGGATAAGATTAAGAAACAGTACCTTATAATAAAATCTTCCAAACCAAATTGCAAACTTTTATTCAAATACTCGGAAATATTACAAGGGAGAGAGAATTTTAAGAGAGAGAGGGTTCTGAAAACCTGCCTCCTCCTAATACAAACTTCCTCTTATATAGAGGTTTCAAACTAAAAACGAATAAAAAGAGTGGCCCACAACTTTTTACATTGGCCAATAACCACACGATAAGACCGACAAATCCCTATGGCTTTCACATGGTCTTATTTTTATTTAATATGGCCGACAATGCTTTCGGCTACTTTATAAAAGCTACTTAAATTATTTTGGCCTCTTATGACCAAATAATGCTGGAATCTTATGCTTTTTCTTTTCCTTTACCTCCAGCTGTACTTGCACTAGAAGATTCTTCTAGCTGCTGTTGATATCTTTGGAGAATAGTCTCAAGATCTATTTCTTCATCATCAATATCTTGACCTTCCCCAGCAATGCATGTATCATCTTCTTTATCATCATTTGTATGGCTTGCTGATGCCATAGAGATATCATCTTTATATCTATGTCAAGATTTCTCATTAAATCTTTCTTTACTTCTTCCATATATAAGGCTATAGCTTCTGATTTAGAGATAAGTCCTTTCTTCATTTGAACTTTTCTTGTAATCTTCTTGAATGGACTTGAATCTTCTATGATAGACGACTCCATAGTAATAGCTTCATATTGACTAATTTTAACATTTATTAAATCAATAATCTCTTGGCCATGTAACTTGCCTTCCGGATTTTTCTAAAGTAATTTACTCCAGAACTTAGTATAAAAAGTCCTCTGCAAACAAGGAAATCCTTCTGAAGTATTATTAACTTCTATTGACCATTTCATGATCCAAGGAATTGAAAATTCAATGAAGAAATACATCAAGGATATTCCTTCGAAGAATACATTCTCTTCCTGCAACTTTATTAATTTTGGGGATATGTCTACCCATTCCAAATATAATTTCTTGTATGATTCTGGTAAAAATTTTACTGAAGGACCATATAAAGTCCACCACTTACAAAACCAATTAGGAATATGCCTGTCAAATACATTAGAACATATTTTAATAAACCATGAATGCTTCCTATTAGCATTTTCATATAACAGGACCTTATTAAACCCATCGATATAATCCCAATAATTATATTTTACAGCAACCTTTTGCTCTGGGTGGATATAATCTAATTCCTTCAAAGTACTCATTCCCCACTCTTCAGGTGCTATAATCTTTTTATAATTAATTTTGAAAAGTTATAAACTTCAAGGTAAAAATGCTGAAATTCGCACCCTGTAGATGAGAGTATTATCTCATAGTTCATTCTGTATTTGTACACAGTAGTAGTATAAGATAGTGTATCCAAATACCTAGCCATTATCTGCCATGGCTCATTCCTCCATTTGAGATCATTTTCTTCTAAAAGAAGTATAACTTCTTTCTTATCCTTCATATCAAAAACTTCTATGTTCTCATCATCTATTAAAATTGAAGAGTATGACGGTGGATTATTATTATCCAACTCTTTCTTGGATTTCATAAAATCCATAAATTCCTTATACATCGGGTGGTTTATATCAATACCACTGGTTCCGCTTGATGAAGCCGGTTGAATTACTAACATTAAATGATGTTAGTGTTCTGCTACCTTGTTGAGCGAGGATATGACCTCCTCTTCCTGGGTTTGTTCTTCCTCTTCCTCTCCTGGATGGAGGGGGCCATTCTGGTCTCATTCTGAAAAGAAAATAATTATTAGTCTAGATATTCTCTAGTAAGAAAATCAGGAAGACTATATCTTCACCTTTCTTGTACTGTATTTCGAAATCGAAAGGTGCTAAAAGAGCTTGCCATCTAGCAAACATTTTTTTAGAAACATCATGTTTATAGTCTTTATTGAACATAAACCTAGCAGCTTGACAATCAGTTTTTATTAAAAACTTCTGATTATAAAGATCACCTTGGAACTTAAGAACGCATTTAACTATAGCCAAAATTTCTTTAGCTATAGTAGCATAATTCTTTTGTGCATTATTCCATTTGCCAGAAT